CGGCCGCCGGGCCGCGTCTCGTGCCCTTCCTCTTAGTGGGGGACGAGGCTGGAAGCGGCTGCTTGCTTCGATCCGGCTCCCCTCGGAGCTGCCCTTTGGGGCCAAGACCGGGGCTGGGCTTGGACTCCGGGAACACGGCGGAGGCAACGCCCCCGTCCGGGGCAGCCCGCGGAGATTTCACTTTCTTTTCCGCCGGGACGTTCTCGGTGCCTGAGTTTGGCGCCACCTCGTCGTCGAACACCGCGTCGTCCCTCGCTGGGCTCTCGGGCAACGCGACATCTGCGCCGGGGGAGTCGGTGGATTTCTGCGACCTCCTCCGCCTCCCCGACCTGCGGCCGCTCGACCTCTTTTCCATGTCGTCCAAATCGCCACAGTCTTCTGTCCCCGGAGTAATCACGACAGGCTCGTCCCCCTGCGCGACCTCAGTCTTACTCAAGTAGATGTCCAAAGTTAAGACTTTGGAGGAGTGGGCGCGCTCTCCCGGCCGGGAATCGCGCCCTCGGGGCCCGGCTGTGCAGTCCACCTGCTCCGGGCCCGCCCGAGTTTCCGCGCTCTCGGCCGCAGGGTCACCTGGCGGAGCACAGGCGTCCTCCGGCGACTGGCAGCGCGAAGCTTGGGGCCCCAGAGAATCGCTTTCGGCACACACGTGGGGGGCTCCGTCAGGGGCCTGGGCTAGATGTCCGGCAGGCAGCTCCTGGGTGGGGGACCCGGGCGCACTGCTGGCAGCCCGGGTTGCCTGCGGCTCGCGGTCAGCGCTGGGCGAAGCGTCCTCCCCCGGACCGCGGGCGGGCGTCTCTGCGCTCCCTAGCCTGGAGGAATTCCCTGGCGAGGAATGCAGCTGCTTGGCAGCGGTGGTGGCATCTGGGGAGGTCTCTCCCTTTGCCTCCAGAGGTTCTAATTGAGCTGAATCACTTTCATGGCACTGTCGCACAGCTACCGCACCGCTGCTCGAGCGAGGTGACAACTCGGCGTCAGGGGGGGCTGCCTGGACGCGGCCCTCGGGGTGCTCGCCCTCCGCCTCCTGGGGCTTCTCCTGGGGGTAGCCCTCCTCGCTCGGGTCCCTCTGCGTGGGTTGGCTGCTCGGGGATTTGCCCCTCTGGGTCTCTGCTTCGGGGGGTTTCGAAGAGCTTACATCTTTGGGACAGACCGGTTTGCCATTTGAGCTGGCGGGGCTCTCTAGCCCGTTTCTGGTCCTTCTCCTCCCTGCCGTGAACAGCGTGCCAAGCTTCCCCAGCACCGGCTTCCTCCTGGCCTCTTCTGGTGGTGGTGCTCTGGACTGAGAGAGAAAAGGAGACAGAGAGAGATATGAGAATTCGGATTTTTTTTTTTCTCCTTGAGTAGTAATGAAACTACGAGCCCAAATTAGTCTGTCACGATTTCTCACTGACAAAGGGGCAAAGTGTGCCCTTGTTACATTCACTCCAACAAATAAACTCAGGTTTTCTCTCTGGAATCTTGGATAAATAGCGTAAGTTGCTGGCATTACTCTCCTTTAACAGTAATTCTTACGTTTTAAAGGGAAAATTCGAAAAGGTCCAGATGATCACATATACAAAGTACGAGATTCCTGTTTTCTCTCGCTCTTGCCTTTTTACCTCCTTTCTCAATAAAGACGTCGTTACACTCAGCCACGCACAGCAGCAAACACACTCACGTGTTTTAAGGGGGATTACTTTTCTCTCCGTTAGAGGGGAGGGGGACGGGGAGAAGCAGTACTAGCCTCCTCCTCGGGGACAGCAGAAGCCACGTGGGCTCAACTCGTTTGCAAATGAAAACCTTCAGAACCCGGGGAGGAATTCTGCACCTGGGCCGGGCCCTAGGCCAAGGCCGCGCTGGGAGCGGCGCTCCTCCAATGGGCGGGCGCGCGGCCATTCAAACGCCCGCGGGTCCCACAAGCCCAGCTCTCTCCGGCTCACCCGGGAGGCTTGAACCCGAGTTCCGGAGTGTAAACGCGAGGGGCTGCGTGGGAGAAGGGATGGATCATGGAAAGGGGGCTGCTTTCGCACACCGCGTCTTGGGGCCAGGAAGCACCTGGCTCTGACCAAGGCCCCCTCGGTCCCGGGGTCCGTTCCCTGCCACCTCGTGGGGCTCCGGGCGCGCACGGACGGTAC